AAAAAAACCCCCCCCCCCCCCCCCAATTTATAAAATTCATTAAAGTGTAGTTTTTAAAAAAAAATGGCGCACGGTGATTTTAAGTTGGTAGCCAATAATCGACTATTTTGGAGTTTTCTTTTCGACAATTTCTTTTTTAAGTTTTTCAAGTTGATATTATTATTTTTTTCTTACGATACTGTTTTTGTTCGCCGAGGAGGACCTTTTGGGAACCGTCGTTTTTGTAATTGTTCCGTGTTTTCTCGTGACGTTTTTTTATTTGTCCTCTTTCATTATCAAGCTCCTAGTTTAAATGATAAATCAGTCATGTGTCGCCAATATTTTTAATTTTTTTTTTCATTATTTATTTAAAAAATACACTACAATAGCTGAATGTGTATATTGTAATAAATATAATTTAAAGATAAGAATTTCTTTAAGGGCATTAGATTTTCCTTCTAATATTTTCAATTTAAAAATTATTTTTAAAAAATAATTAAGCATGTTTCCGCTGGGGCTTGAACCCAGGACCTTCCGCGTGTTAGGCGGATGTGATGACCACTACACTACGGAAACTGCTTTGGATGCTAGGGACAATTATTTTCAAAAATAATAAACACTGCGAGGCCTTGTTTTGGAGTTATTTTAAAATGAAATAGTTTATATGTATTAGTTATTATTGATATACTCCATTATATTGTATCTCACAACCATTTAGCGCTTCTCCGTGTGGGTTGTGCATGTGACCTCCTAACAACTGACAGTCTTTATCTGGCTCCGCCACTGAATTATTAATATGCAATATAAATTTAAAAAAATATTTTTGGAGCCTCATCATAATCATATGTCATATGAGCCTCATCATATGAGCCTCATCATATGAGCCTCATTGCCTCATGTGACTGACACACATATAATAATGCCTATGTCTTTTGTGATAAGGATTTCATTTCGTCTTGGTTTCTGAATAATGGAGATTGCATTCTTTTTAAATTTAAAGCATATTATTATTAGTATCCTAGAATACTTGCAAACAATGAAATGACTGCTCTTTTATTTATATAGGGGTAATAAGGCATAAGGGGAGAGACTGCAATCAGGTTAGTACAAAATAAAATGAGTAAAACAGAGTAGGGTTAAACCTGAAAAAATAAACGCAACAAAACAGCGAACGCGTCGGCAAAAAGCCTTCGCCAGCGAACAAAACAACAGAAAAAATGGTATAAAAATAAAAATAAGAAATAGCACTTAGCTGGTAAGTAGTATCTGTGGGCAGCAATAGAAGTGTGCTTATGACCTTTTGTTGCGTTTATTTTTTCAGGCTTAACCCTACTCAGTTTTACTCATTTTATATTATTTATATAATATGTTTCCGTAGTGTAGTGGTGATCACATCCGCCTAACACGCGGAAGGTCCTGGGTTCGAGACACAGCGGAAACATGCGGTACACGTTTAAGTGTATGTTTTTCTTAAATTTCGATCTTACACGTTTTTCAAACATTGTTTTTTTTTTGTTTTTTTGGGGGTTTTTTTTGTTGATCCGGGCCCGATTGAAAATGTGACAGCAAAAGGCCCTGCCAATTAGGCGAATGGGTTTGAGAGAATTCACAGTGAAGTGTTAATAGATTGCACAATGATCTGAGAATAAAGCTGTAATTATTTGCTACAAGTTTGGAGTGAGTAGTTAGCAAAAGAGAAAACAACAACAACAGCCTCTCATTAATAACTTATTGGCCAGATTTCTGTTTGATTTCTTGACATTTTTTGTAAGAGTGAATTATTTTAATTTGAATATATCCATTTAAGCCGTTCCGACAATCAAATCTGTTGTACGGAACCACGGAGCGGGATTACGCGGTACAAATCCTAGTGACTTAGTGGCTCATGAAGGAAAAATATGTGTACAAAATAAAGGAGACAAGGGAAAAAAATAATTTGGGAAACAATTTATTAAGAGTCTTAAGGTAAGGTGAGGCCATATGCTATTCAAATTTTGAGGCCTCTTGCAGTCACACTATTCACATCCACCATCACACCCCCACCATCACACTCCCACCATCCGCCCCATCCTTAAAAAAAATAATTAAAATTTAAGGAAAAAAACAAAGTTTTCACTTGCAACCACACACAATTGTTAATATACTGTGATACATACTGTTATTTATACAGTTATATATACATATATAGCCTATATTGTTATATATTTCATTAATATATTTTAATAAATCGCCAATCAATTATTCTAAAAATTATAAATTGTATACAACTGTATAAACTGGATTGTGTTCTTAAGATAGTAATGTCTACATGACAGTGCACACTAAATAGGGGACTATTGCTCATCATTAAACCAACAATCTATTTTTAGAATACATTTTTAAATAGACAATGGAAAACTCGGACATCTTGATATTTTCATTGCTGTATGTAGTTTGACAGAGGTCTTCACTGCGTGAGACAGAATGAACTCTTCTGTGGACCCAAAACTTTTTAAAAACGGAAATGAATGTGTAAAAGTTCA